CAAGAAAATGAACAAAACATTATCCAGTACAGCAACTAGATACATAACAGTCCCGGGCAGAAAACAAGAATAGCCATATCATAATTAGCCAGGTAAATACGTGGTAGCCAGGTACGTGGTATTCATGAAATCCAAGTTGTATCTCTGTGAGGTAACTCTAATCAGCAGTGCACTGTGTAGGAGGTGAGGCATACAAACATTTAGATGAGGAGAAAATCTTTCAAGTAACTATTAAATCTTAAAAACCAGGTACCTTCATGTATAATGTTGGTTAGCAACCTAGCTCATAGACACAGAATCCAAATTACCTTCCCTTCTTGCTGTGGTCCCATTAAGTACAACTCAGGTGCAGGTGACCAGTTCTGGAGGGCACCTCATCTGAAAGGTCTTCCAAGAAATCTGAAGTGGCCCTGGGCTCATCAAGTCAAGGGACCTGCAGCCTGTCCCTACGGGACTTGTTTAAGGAGGCCTGTGTATACATTTACATTTCTGCAACCTACGTATGAAAGGTGGCAGGCACGGTCATGGAGGCTTCCTGAATTTATTAACAGGCATTCCAAAATGTCCTCACATTTTATTTTGGTAAAACAAGGGGCTCTTAAAATTAAACATCTTTAGGAAAAACCAGAGTGAACCGGCAATATGCTAAACAATAGACATTTATGACATTACACAGGAAATAGGTTTAAAATGGATTATTAACTTCCAGGAAAATGAAAAGTCTAAAGTGAAGGAAGGCCACTTGGTACACTGTCATAATAAATGTGAATATCATTTTTAAAAAAAGATAATAGCAATTAGAAATCATAAATAAAAGAAATTAATCATGCAATTTCAGAAGGGAGAATGAAGTATCTCTTGTCTTAACTCATGTAAACTAACAGCCAATAAAATAAAAACTCACTGCTTTCTACACTATAAACATGGAGATACAGTGAATTAAGATAGACTGGATACAATGTCTGAAGAAATCAATTAGAACTAATTTGAAAATATCTTGTACCAAAAATATCCCATTAAAAATCATCCAAAATACACAAAACAAACAAAAAAAGTCACCTCTTACTTCAACAGAGACCAAACCAAAATCTGACTTTTACAAACTTGCTTGTCACACCTCTGACCTGGAATCAGCTGTAGGATTTTATAAACTGTGGTTTCCGGGTGTCTCTCGGGTTAGAGCGCGTTGTAGGTAGAAACAGCAGGTAGCACACTGTGTAGCACACACAGCCTCCGTGCATTCTTCAGCTGCCCTGCTGTCCCCACGCCATTCACACTTCTGCTATGCTCTGAGAAGCAATGCAGACCTTCCCCTTCCGACATTTTCAGCCACTTGCTAACGCAAGCCCCTGAGGAGCACCCTAGATAGCCCCCATCCCAGCTTACCACGTATGGGCCACAGTGAAGCGACGCCGCTGCCGGATGCTCTTATTCACCAGCAACTTTCTGAAAAAGCATGGGGAGTTCCTTGGCGAACTTCGTGGGGAGATTTTGGGAGATGTGGGTCTGTTCCCTGGCAGCCTCGGGAGCTCAAGTTCTAGGTGCATTTGCTCCTTGAAAGTCTTTATGCAAACGTCAGACTCCGAAGCAGTAAGTTCCTTTGAAGAATTTTTTGCTGTCATGTCTCACACAAAGCGCTAGCTCTCACCATCCAGAACAAAAGCCTCAAACATAGCAGAGCCCCCGCCGCAGGTGAGAGGGCTGAGCAGGCTGCAGCTTCTTCCCGGCTCAGTCTGCGAGCAGTGTTTCCCACCGAGGAGCCGCTCAGAGCAACAGCAGCGCGCTGGAAGAATGGCAAGTCAGACTCAGAAGGAGCTTTATCAGGCTGCCTTTGCCTCTGAAAATGCACCAGAGCGCTTCCTATGTCAGTAGCCTCCTTGTGGGGGAGGCGAGTCTGCAGCTCCACACTGACGCTCCCTGAATTCATTCAGCTGAATGTAGCAACCCATGAAATATTCATTAGAGCTCCTGAGAAATCCTTGCCATGCATTCTCCTGAAAACCTCACCAACAAGCCACGTTCACTAACAGATAGTAAGCAGCACCTAGTCACCTAGGCGTTTGTTTCATTCGCACAAAGAGCAGAGCCAGCGTCGTCCGGCGTGTGTGATGTTTAAAGTCTTCATTCAGAACTAGCTTGCTTTGCAACGCACACCACACAAACTCCACCTTCTAAATGCCATTGGCCCAGGATTATTTAAACAACTGCACAGTTTCTCCCTTAAAAACACTCTCCACTGCTCAGATTTTCACAAAACTTGGGCGGTGCCTGTCTTTGTCACAGAAAACATGGATTAAATCAAGGAGTGTCCCGAAGCCTAGCTGAAGCAGCGATTGGAATTCCAGCTCTGTATCAAAGAGCTGATTCGCTGAAGTTTCTTCTTTCGCCCTTCCCCTAAAATCCCAAACAGCATCAATAAAAGGAGTGAACAGGAACACACTGGACTTGGTTCATTCCCCTCAAAGAGCTTGAAGTCTAATTTTTACTCCAATAAGCATCTCACTCACTCTTCTGTTAAAGCGCATTGCTCGTGAGTTGCCCACGGCAGCACTCTGTTCACTGCCAAGACCTCCCGACAGCCAGAGCTCCCCAAAATTGCAAAGGAGGTAACACTGTGGGGAAATGGGTACTCCTGGTGATAGTGTGGAATCAGAACTTAGACAGTATGCGTGTGCGTGTGTGTGTGTGCGTGCGTTTTGGCGTGCGAGGGTAGCTTTAGAAGACAGCACAGGCATATGTGGCGCGTGTGCACAGCAGGGTGCGTGTGCGCGCTTTGTTCACAAGGCCCGCATACAAGTGCAATGGGCAGCACAGGAGAAGCGTCCCAGAAGCAGACGCTGCAACCTGGCCCTTTGCCTAGCCCTGGAGCACAGCTTCCACCCTTTCAAAGGCACAAAGGAAATCAAAACAATATTCTGATGCTTAAAGGGTTTTTTTTAAATAACTGTGAACAGGGCCAACCTGATCTCCAATTCGAAGAACTGGAGTCATCAAGGGGGCCAAAAGGGGCAATTCCCAGCGAGGCTTCTGGGAGAAGTGGAGACATGCATTCTTCCATGAATGAGGGAGGTCTTCCAGCCTTAGACAGTCATGGAAATATGTCATCTCCTCTGACAAAAGCTGGGCTAGTATCTACAGGGCTAAATAAGATCACATTGTCCTTTATGGGTAGAACAAGTAAACCCCATGTCAACTGTTCAGGAAGTGAGTGGTGCATAATAGGGTAGAAACCCCCAGTTTACAGAAGCACCTTGGAAAGTCTGTCAGCATTTACGTAAGTGAAATACATTGCGAACAAAAGCACAGCGAGGGCATTTGAGATTTGCACTGAATCTCGGCGATCACCTCATTCTGCAACACATTCCGAAGACATGGCTAGAGAGATCAAGGCCCGAGTCCAAGGTTCTGTTGGTTGGCATTACAACTAAAGCCGCACCTCACGCTTTCTGGTTTCCAGCTGAGTGCCCTACAATTCAATCGCAAAGCTGTGCTTTTGTCTCGGTAGCCCCTAGTGATGCTGTTAGCATTTCGAGCCACCTTGCCTGCCCTGCTTGAGAAGACAGGCAGTTCATAATATTGTGAGAGAAAATATGATCAACACTACTTACTATTGGCTGGGTTATGAAATAGACTCTGAAACTTTCCCTCCAAAAATACCATGATTTAAAAGTGGGACATGAGGGCCAGGGAGATATCTCAGGGGCATAAGCGCCTGCCAGGCAAGTGCAAGGTCCCAAGTTCAATCACCGGTTAAATAAATAAATAAATGACAGAGATTGTATGATTCTGCAATTACTCCGAGTAACTTATAAGAAAATAATAGCAATTTGAAGCCACAAAAGATATTTCTTATATTTACTTTTCAAAACTGCCAAAAGATGGCAAATGTTTTAGAAATTTCATCCCAAAAATATGATGACAAATTTCCCAAACCAGATTCAGCTGTACATGAACCGGCCCGGACGAGGCAACGCTGATGTAAACCTACCCTGCTGGCACGCCGTCCAGCTGCAGTCATTCCCATCTCCTCTTGCCAGTGTTTACCATCATGGGGCTCTCCATGCCACCATCTCATACTACCTATTATCTCAGTTAAAATGGCTTGCAGAATCACCCCAAGAAACACAGCTCTTAAAAGCAGGTAAAATCTGCTAACTCTGCCTCCCCTCAAAAATATTCAAGAATAGCAAAGGGATTAACTGAAATACAAAATTAAAAAGACAGGCTTCGTGCAAGTCTAAGTTCCCTATCACTGGTGGAGGGCATGGAAGCGTTTATAGGCAAATGCATGAAAATTTGTTTCTCAAGTCAAACTGTAAGAGAAAAACAAGGTGCAGTGTCAGATACTGAAGCCAAAGGTGAATCAAGAAGACAGGAAAGAGGAGATGGCAAGAGGAGAGTAAGAACAAACCCTGCGCTCGTCAACAGAGAGCGGACAGCACGCATGTGCCTAGTGCGGTGTCTGGGAGGCACAAACTAACACCACGCAGCCCGCCCGCCTGCCCGCATGTATCCAGAGCCCTCGGGCTCTCAGAAGGAAACAAGCAGTCCCCAGGTCAGCAGTGTACACATCCTTGCCCTGAGCACTTATCTGAGATTCCATCTACAGTAACGCTTTCACACCACACAATGAAATTTCTGCTACCTATAAGTTTTCAAGGAAATAAGAACCAGGAACTTATCATAGTAAAAACACCATTACTTCTGTGAATACAAAAATCAAATAATGTTATAAATATTATAGACAAATTGAAAACACTTCAGTTTTCCTAATTGAAAAAGGCAAATTAATTATACCCGAAGAAAATTATCGATTTATAACATGAAAATGATAATGTTGTTTAAAATGTTACTAAAGGTTCAACAGCATTGTGATAAAATTATTTTGGCTTAAAATTATTACACTGTTTTGAAATTTTTATGTGTTTGGTACAGGATCTCACCACACAGCTTGGACTCATAGTGATCCTACTGTTTCAGCCTCCCTGGCACTAGGAAGCAGGCATGCGTCACCACGCCCGGTCTGGGTAGACAGCTCAGTGTGCCT